ATAACATACATTGATTTTAAATTACTATTTTGCATTAAAAGTAGCATTAAGATATTTAAAAATATTTGTATCCTTATTTAGCACCAGGATTTCAGATTATGAAAAATCTTTTCTAACAAATTTATTTATTTTTTGTATTTTTTTTTCTTGTTCTTTTATTGTATTATTGGAATTATATTGGATTGTAGATGTTTTTAGATATATTAAATGTTTTGCAATCTTTGTTATCTTAACATCTTTTCATAAGATATGTCAGATATTTAATTTTGTTAATTAATATCAATTTAATAGACATTTAAACCTTTCTTCGCCGCAATCGGCAATTTTTCACCCCGGAAAAATGGATTTTCTTCCTGAAATAATATAATGAAAATTTATTACTTACATTGATATATAATTTAGAATTAAAAAATTTAAAGCAAAAAATTACATATTACAAATTAAAAAATTCAAATAAAAAATTTTAAGTTTCAATTTTAAAAAGTTAAAAATATATTATTTTCATGTTGCTTTTATTATAGTATATCATAAATTATACCTTAAATCTTTAAATTAAATTTTTAATTTTTAAGAATAAAAAAAGTAATAAAGATTTTTTATTCTTCTTGTATTCAAGATATCGGTAACGGAGGCATTAGATTAAAGAAAATAAAAATTGATAGAATAATAGAATTAACGATTTAATAGGATAACGATTTAATAAGTTGATAATTCAATTTTTAAAAAAATATGAATATATTTCTTACAACTTGAAATTGATCCACGATTTGATTGAAATTGGAGTTTGAAATATGCATATTTGGAAGATTGTTGCTGTTTGTAGAATCAACTGAACAATCCAACATATGTTCCGTATCGCACATACAATCTTGTGCACTTTGGTAATCTCGACTGAATGCTGCTGTATTTTCGAAGTTTACGATACAATTGTTTTTACCTATACAATAATCATAATATGATTAAATTTTGTTACTGATTTAACAGTTTATTATTAAAAAAAAGTTTTATTAAAATAGAATATTAAAAAATTTAAAAAAAAAAAAAATAGATTTAAAAAAATTATTTTTCAATAATGAGAATTGGTTTCTTAAAAAGTTAATATGGATAGTTTATTAAATTTTAATTAAAATATAAAAAAATTATTATTTATCATTGTATAAAATTATTATTAATCATTGTATAAAGATTAAAAATTTTTATTAAAGTATTTTACAATAAAAAAGATTTAGAAAAGTATAAAAGAAAATACATATGTGTAAAATAGATATCAATCATAATTTTAAAATGTTAAATCACTTACTGGTATATCCAACTGGACAAGGATTCGGTGGTGTACAATATGCAGGTAAAGCATTCTCTTTTTCATTCTTGATATTTTTCACACTTCCAGGTTTGATTCTTTGTCTATCATTCACTTTGTCATTATTGGTAATATGTTGATGACTCCACAATGAGCTATGTTGCAAATATTCTTGATCGCGAATACTGGGATTAGGATTCAAAGTATCCATACTATCGTAATCAGCAGGTAGCTCAAGAGGAATTTCTTTCGGTTTATCCTGATATTCCAGATAGGAATCTGCTGTATCGATAAGTTCATTTCCCATTTGATTGATTAATTCTCGGAGAAGAGTATCGGTCAATAATTGTTCTTCCTGAAATTAAAATTATATAAATTAGTAAATTAATTTCGTTTAAAATTCACTATAAAAATATTGTTGAATATATATAATAATATTAACAATTGTACATGAAAACTTTCATTAAAAAAATTTTTCATTAACAATAAATTGAAAAGATTTTAATATGTAAAATATATTGAAACTAAATAGAATTAAAAATAATATGTTACCTTAAGAGGTGGAGGCAAATATACTGATGCTTGAACAGCAACAGCCACAGAGAAAAACAAAATCCAATACATGGTTTTGAGTAATCTAAAATAATTAAATTAATGATTTATAATATAATCAATATTATATTTTTATTATAATTAATTGTTTACATCGCGATTAATTAAACCGAAATCAATTAGATTAATTTTAAATAAATTCTTTTTTTCATTTATTAAGTATATATATTAAATAATAACAATCTACAAAAGAAAGAAAATCATTACATATATCATTATATAATAACAATAATTTTTTAAATATTTTGTTCTTCATAAAAATTACAAAAATTAATTTTATTTAAAAAATCTCACTGAAAAATTTATATACTAATATATAAAAATATATACAAAAAACAACAATGTAAATATCATTAGATTATCGATTCTTATTTGAGGCCAATAACTATTCGCGTAATTTTTTTATTACAATTTTCAAATCGAATTTCCATTTGAACTATTTCAAAAAATCTTTGAATATGTAAAAATACAAAAAAATTAAAAAAACCAATATATATACATCAAAATAAAATAATCAAATGGAACTTACCAAAAATAGTGTAATAATCGCAATAATGTACTGATGAAGCGATCCTCGAGTTTCGTGAATGGTGAAGTGTATGGGTTGGGTTTTCTTCCAACAGAAGCGGCGCTGTGCTCGCATGAAATATTGATCCATATTTTCCGCGCTGCTTTTCTCCCTTCCATTTTCACATTCGACCACCATACCGCCTACAATCCTCTCTTACAACCCACATTCGTAAAACCGAGTTACGAGCAAAGGTCGACTGAACCTCATGACGTCATTTTTGCGATTAAAGGATGAGTATCTGGCAGGATAGGAGGAAATACATTTTTAAAATAGATATATATGGAAATATTCTTATTTTTTCAAATCATATTATTTTGGAAGATTTTATAAATATGAAATGCATGTTTTTTTGATAATATTATTATTAAGAAAATAATACATTAAATTAGGTCAACTTTAAAATTATTATATATCGAAATCGAAATATATCGAAATCATATAAAATACAATATATGAAAAATTTAATTTAAAATTAATTTCAATATTTAAGCAATAAAAAATAAAAATTAGAATATAATCATTTTTGATATTTATTGTGTTTTGATTAAAGAAAAAACAAATATTTTATTTACATCGAATTCGACTTTAAATAATAAATACATAATAGGATAATTTGTGATTTAAATGTAAAATAAAATAGTTAAAACAGATATTATTTTTAAAATAATATTTATTTTGAAAAAAGTTCCGAAAAAATATTAATGAAAAATCTGTCAAAATGTACATCGTCATTGCTGATATAGAAATCATTGTTTGACACAAAGCAACGTTTTTATTGAGAGAGCATCGCGTCAATGGAAAGACTAAAACACGAAATGAAACGACATCCGAAAGCTCGAAAGATCAAAAGACCCTTGGCATTCATTATGGTCGTATATAAACTTCCATTAATAATTGTCTCGCTTTGCATACTTCCAACTCAATTTCTGAAATCAAATTGCTACCGTGTTTCCGTCCACCGACGAAAATTACTCTCTTTATTGAATCATGTTCTCGCGCAAGGGACACTTTGTTCTCTCGAAAATCCTTGCGTTATGGTTACCGAGTGAGCCACAATTGTGTTTGCCTTCGTATAAAATCTAGGAATAAATTGATTTGATTTGTAGATTTAGTTAGTTTAATTAATCGCTAGTTTTATTATTAGTCAATTTTTTAAAACTTTTAAAAAAAAATTCTTAATTTAAATTTAAAATTTATTTTTTTGACATTTGATGATGATATTAATGTACACATAAAATAGATAAGTAAAATATATACAAGTTATAGAAATTGAGACAATAATTTTCTAGTTAACTAATAAAATATATTAATATATTTTTTTTATATTTTTATAGTTAAACGATAATTTTTTAGTTAAATGATAATTTATAAATCCTTTATACATAAACTAAATTAATTAATAAATTATTTAATAACTTATTTATTCCATTAATTTTTATTAATAAAATATCAGATCGAAAAAATATTAAAATTATAATAAAAAAAAAGTATAAGAAACAGATGATTATCTTTCTCTAAAGGGATAAAGAAAATAAAGGAAATATTATCCGATTATGCGCTTATCTCATATCTAGTTATTCATCCGTTTAACTTTTCTCATTTGACAAACTTACTATTATTTATGTCATTGAATAATAAATAAATTGCATGTTTATTATTTTTTATTTATTAAATTTGAAAAAAGTTAATTTAAAAAAATTACATAAATCAATTTCCAATGATTGTATTTTTAAAGATTAACAAAAAAATATATATGAATGTTTTTTAATTTACAAAAATGAAGAAATGCTTTTCAATGTGAGATTTGATATTGAATGGTTCCATATCGTTCTAAATGTACTTATATTGATGGGTTAAAATGCATAGGGTTCGTCACTTACGTCAATGGACATGTTATCGGCAGTTAAATGACTAAAACGTTCGAGAAATTCATTAATTTATGATTGACTCGTCATTTCGATTTTAGGTTAGGAATATTATTATTCATGACATCTATAATATCTACATACTCGTCTATAATAAAAGTTCTTTATCATGAAAATACATTTATTACGTATAATTTACGTATTATTTTAGTAATAGTTATATATATTTTATTTTTTAAATTGTGTTTTAATAATAATTGCAATATAATATATGAAAAATTTAGAACTGAAATTGATCGATTTTGAAATTGATTGATTTTTTGAAAGTTTTTAAATTTTAGTTACCTGAGCATATAGAAGATAACTACTTCGTAATTAATGAATTTAAAAAATATTCTATATAGCACAATATATTATTATATATTTCATAACTCAATATCATTCATTTATCATAAACAAAATATTTCACGATACAGTATTATAAAATCATAAAAGAGATATTTCATAACACAATACAATTTATACTATATATTTAATACTACGAAATATTTTGCAATATAATGAAATTATATATTACGTATTATTAATAATATTATAGTCAAAATATTCTACGATACGACAAATATAAGTGGTACGCCATCGATAAAGTATCTCGTGAATTTGTTCATTAGAAAGAGAGTTGGAATTAATCCTAACTTCAGTTTAGTGAATTCAGATTCGTGAGTTTATGTATTATATAGTATTGTGTCGCGAAATATGAATTATATTGTGGCGTCTTATGAATTATATTATGTGGAATATTTTGTTCGTAATTACCAAGTTAATCTGTTTTTAATTTCTACATTTTATAAATACATAATTTTATATAAATATAATTTTATATATTTTGCTAAAGAATTTATTATTTATAATCCAAAACGCTTTATTAATTTTTGGCTTCCGAAACCACATATTACTAACCTCAATATCTCGAACTCTGTTTCATCCAACTTTTTACTGAAGTTCTTATCCATAAATTTTGTCAAGTCACTAATAGTCAAATCTCTTCCTTCTAATCTCATAAATATTCTTTAATTCATTATTAAATATTAACATCATACTAGTTTAATATCACAAAAGAAAACAATGTAAGTAAAAATTTTAATTTTTTGAATAAATTAGTTACATAATGATAATATACTTTAGCTCATATCATTTTTATCATCATTAAATTTTTCATAATTGTTTCATTTGTAATACTTTTTTCTTGAATCTCTTCATTCATAAATAAAACATAAATCATTTATCAGCACATAGATTTATATTAAAAAAAATAGAAAAATATTAATCAATGGAGAATGTGTTTAGCACTTTATAGTGTATGTGTATTTCACAAAGAAAATATGGAGAGAATAAATTTCATAGCGTATAAAAGAAACACTAGATACACGATGAAAAATTTTTAATCGACTATTTGAAGTCACCGTATTTTTTCTTATTTTTTAGATTTCATAGTAATTATTTATCTTTTATAATAAACCAAAATTTTTTTTTTTTAAATAAAACCAATTAACATACTTTCAACATATTTCCTACGGGGTTTACCGGATAAAAGATTCATTAATTAATTATTTGAAATCATATTTTTTCTCATTTCAAATTTTACAATGATGATCCATATTCTAATTAGCCAAGATCTTTTCTATTAGATGTATAGTAAAATCAATTATCTGTTTGAAATCACTATATTTTCTATCGGGTGTATAGCAAAATCAAGATTTCTCAATTGACCATATTTTTTCTCATTTTAAATTTCATAATGACGATCCTATTTTAATAAATCAGAACTTTTTTTATTTTTCTAATATATGATATTTTCTTCTGGATAGGTGGTGTAAGGTTGTTACGCTATGTCTCGCCGTCACGAGTATTGATCTCCGCGGAGCCACTATGTGAATGGGCTATAACCGTCTCACCCTAGAACCTGGGAATACAAAATCTCTGTCCTTGTCTCGTTTCCTTAGCCTCCTTCTCCTTTGTCCTCTTTTCGTTTTGGACTCAAGTCCATTTTATGTGGGTTGGATTTCTTCGTTTTGGACTACATCCTCCCATGCACTTATTGGCGCCTGTGGAATGCTCTACCTTGACTCTGACCTATTTCTTTGTCTTTTTGTATTTAGGATTTGATTTAGAATGACTTAGAATTGGATTATATGATTTGTGAAATTTTTTTTTAATTGTATTTATTTTAATTTTCTTATATTATTTATTTTTTCTCTTTTTTCACTTTTTGTTACCTTTTTCTGTTTTAGATTTTTAGATCTTCTTAATATTTGATCAAAAAAATTTGGACCTATGAAGTTTAAACAATCTGCACAATCTTATAAAAATGATATCTTATATATATAAAATTTTATTGATATACTTTGTAAAAATGATATCAACATTAGAATAAAATGACAGAAAATAATATAGATCATGACTGAAGTTTGAAGACAAAATATTTTCATGTCTAAAAATCTGTATAATTAATCAACTTCAAGTAAAACACCTAGTAATTTCAGTTTTTATATTACAAGTATGTAAAATGTATCTTTTACAAACAAATCGAAATCGAAACTCCTAGATCATGTGAAAACTAATTAAATGCTACATGTGTTCGTGTGAAGGAATCACGCATGCACGGTGTAAAGTTCATCCAACATTTGTGGTAATGTGAAAATATCATTTTTCATTAATTCCTTTTCTTTTTCTCTCTTCGTTTATTTCAATACTCTTGAAATATTTTCCTCAATCTGAAGGATTTAATTAAAACAAATAATACGTATCCAAATCATTATTCAAATCTAACCTATATTTATTTCAAACTTAATTCAAACATAATTCAATCTAATCTAATCTATCTTAACGTATTCTAAAAAATATAAGTTCTGAAAAATATAAGTTATTTAAAAAACATCGAAATTATTTATATAGTTCCTTGTAAATCATTAAAGTTATTCACGTTTTTCAGTATTTCTTCTTGCATCCGTAACAATGGAATTCTCAATTTCATCAAACTCCGCTTAAGTCTCCTAACCTAATTTATATTTACTCCAAACTTGATTTAAACATAATCCAACTTAATATAATATATCTTAATCTATTCTAAATAAGAAACACGATAATTTATTTATTTCAAAAGCATTGAAATTAATTCTTCATAAATTCTCAATTAATTAGTTCTTCATAAAGTATTGTCCAAATTTTAAGTAATGAATGAAAATTAATA